AGGCACCGGCCTTTGGTACTCCCGCGACACTAATCATTGACGAATACGGGGACACCAATCAAGGCGAAGGTGTCGGCGCTGTCGGCGCGGGAGCTTCCGGCGGCGATGGAGGGGCAAAGGGAGAGGGAGGAGCAAACCCCCAGACCCTGGCCCTAGCCACCCGCCCTCTCCCTCCGCCCCCCCCATCACCCCCCCCCCCCCGGGCCACGACCCCCTTCCGACAGGCGCGCGCCGCCTGCCTGTCCCGCGCGAAGGCCCGCCGCGCAGCCAGGCTGGCGGGCAGGCTGGGCGAGGGCTTGGGGGAGGGGCGCGCGGGCCAGTCGAGCCTGCTCACCGGCGCCTGCCCCGCGGGTTGTCTGGGTGGGCGACGCGGAGGGCGTGCGCGAGATGAGGGCCGCCCTCGCCGGCGCGGCGCGCGTCGGGATCGACACCGAGTGGGCCGAGGGCGAGGGCGGCGGCGTGGGCGGCGCGGTGCTGGCGACGGCGCGCGGCTCCGCGTCCCGCCGCCTCGCCTGCCCCCTCCCGCCGCCCGCGACCCTCACGTGTGCGGCGCATGCCCTCTCGGCAGGTGCAGCTCGCCGTCACGGAGGGCAGCGGGGAGGCTGCATTCGTCTGCGACGCGCTGCAGCGCGGCCCGGCGGCGGCGCAGTACCTGTCGGCACTCGGGTCGGAGCTGCGCTCGCTGCTGCTCTCTCCAGCGCCGCCGCTGCCGGTCGGGTTCGCCTTTGCGGCGGACGCGCAGAAGCTGGCGGCGTGGCTCCGCGAGGCGGAGGCGGCGGGCGGAGAGGCGGAGGCGGCGGGCGGAGGCGGCGAGGCGGAGGCGGTGGGCGGCGAGGAGGAGGGTCGCGCGCTTGTGCGGCGGATCCGGGAGGCGACTGTCGATGTGCCGCGGCTCTCTCGGCTGAGGGGGCGGCTCTGGCGACTCGGCCGCACCGTCGTCTTGCTCTCGCCCGCCTAGGTGCAGCGGCTTGCGGAGGACGCGGGGCTCGGGTCGCGCTCGCAGGCGCCGTCGCTGCAGGCGGCGTGCGCGCACTGGCTGTTGCAGCGGCTCGACAAGCAGGAGCAGTGCTCGGACTGGGCGGCTAGGCCGCTGAGCGAGGAGCAGGCGGCGTACGCGGCGACCGACGCGGCGGCGTGCTTGCGCGTGCTGGACGCCATGGAGGCGGACTGGGGCGAGGAGGAGGCGGCGCCGCCGCTGGACGCGAGGCTGTGAGCGAGCCACACGCGGTAAATGCCCCATGTCGATATTCCGGCTCGTTGTGCGAGTATATGGGGTACACGTATATGGGACACGATGTCTCAAATATGAGAGGTTTTGACTCCTACCGGCTCCTGACGCTATCCCTGGCAGCTCTAATGACCAGGATCAGTAGTGTTGTGATAGAGGGTGCCCATACTAGCGCAGGAGCTGCCACACTCGCCCGGACCGGCTCCCTCTCTGGGGCCGGTTCCGCAGCCCGTGAGAGCCCCCGACAGCGCTCAGCGGGGCCGTGCCGCGGGTGCCTACTGCCGAGTGCCACAAACACTGCGCCGTCCCGCCATCACCTACAGGCTGTCTTGTGTGATGGTTGGGATGTCCAAACGCCACCATCTTGGCTCTTGCGACCTCAAACCCGCGAGCTGTATGGGTGGTCCTGACGTCGACAGACGCCCGATGACCATGGTGAAGCTGAGCCGGAACGAGTCGACAAGTTGCATATCCGGATATGCAACGGTGGCATAAAGTGAATGATACACCGTCGCAAAACTGCAGTTTTGCGACGGCCGTCGGGATATGCAACGGTGGCATAAAGTGAATGATACACCGTCGCACAAGTCTCGTCTGAGCCCGTGGCGGTCGCCGGCTGAGTCGCTGTGCACGGGCCGGTACCTCAGGCGTCACCTCCGTAGCCTCAGGTCTCACACTCCATCACCGCCGCCGGGACGCCGTCGGTGGCACGCTCGGCGGCGACTTTGTTGCAGCCCCACAGCGAGCGCGGCGTCGAGCCTATTCGGTCTGGTCGGTTCGCGGCACTCCCTGGGTGCCAGGGAGTGCCGCCGACACGCGAGCGGTGCTTCCTGGCAGCGCGCGCCAGCTGTGGGGCTGCAACAAACTCGAGACACGCTTTTTGGGACATTTTCGACGCTTTTGTCCTATATAGGGATCCTTCTCCGTCTGCGACTTGAGCTTCGCCACCTTCGCCTTCCTCTCCCGCGCCGCCGCCGCCTCCCGGTCCTCGCGGCGGTCCGCCAGGGGGTCGTCGCCGGCGTCGTCAGCCACGATCATGGCCGTGACGGCCTCGCCCGCCATGTCGATCTCGGCCGATCGATCGCGCGTCCCAAAGGTCGCCAAAAGTCGCCAAAAGTGGGTGGCGGCGAGTCGCAATCACCCGCCCGCCGTCCCGGCGGTCCCGCAGCTCGCGCACATCTCCCTCTTAACCCACCTCTAACATCTACATAAGGGATCCCTACTCGCACAACATGCCTTCCTCCCCTCTAAAATACCCACAGCGCACAGGAACAGTGTCAGTGTACCCAGACGGAGCCTCCGACGGAGGGTCTGGTACACGGACTGGTGAGCGCGGAGCGAGCGCTGAGAGGGGCTCTATACCTGTAGCGGGCACCCGAGCGCACGAGGAGGAGAGGGGGCCGAGTGGAGTCGCCCGCGCGAGAGAGAAAGAAGTGCGAGTCACTGTGGGAGACTGAGAAGTGAGAAAAAGCCGTCGAGCTTGGGTGTTGGGACTTAAATTTGCTACCTCGAGGGACCATGTGCCCCATGACCCATCTGCATCTCCCGCTGACCGTACGTGCGACCGCCTTCCTTTGTGAATTCTTTTATCCTCGCGGGAGTCGCTTAGGCGCGGCTAGAGTGGGTGGGCAACCGAGTACCCGAGAGACTGCACGAGAGTGCAGCCCACCGTTGAGTGCCTTTCGCGGTTGGCGCTGGCGGGTGAGGGGGTAACCGCCGAGACAGCAAGACATTGACACAGAGGAGGCGGCGAACACCCGCCCCGCGGGTGGCCAAGGAGTACCCTCGGGTCCAATCTCGGCTAATCTCGGCTAATCTCGCCTCGGCTAATCTCGCCCCGCAGGTGGCCAAGGAGTACCCTCCTCCCTCCGAGACGACGGTGGAGTGCTGGGACGACGATGGCGGTGTGGAGAGTAGCCGAGATGCGCCGAGATGCCCCGAGATGACTCGAGATGGAGTGCTGGGACGACGAAGACGGGCGCGATCCAGATACCCCACCCCACCCCCTTCCCCACGGCCTCTGACACGATGTCGGCGCCTCGAGATGCCCTCCCTCACGCCGCCCCGCCGCTGTGACCAGGCGATGGGCCTGGCACCCTGGCTGCGACCCGCTCGACGACGACGCGAGGCGGCTAACGTGGTGGAACGGGCTGTAGAGCTAGACGTCAGCCGAGTCAGCCGCGATGAGGGACCCGGGGCTTGTCGTCACAGGAGCCGTTTGGGTGTGACTTATGGCCCTGGCGAGGTGCAAAAAATGGCATTTTTTCGGTAAAATTACACTGTGAAAAAGACAGAAAAAGAGAGAGAAAACGCGCGCGCAGCGCGCGTAGGCGGCGCGCAGCGCCGCCGCAGGCGGCGGACAGCAGGTGCGCAAAATTAAACGCCATTTTCGGTTCCGCGGTTTTGCCACTAACATCAAATGTCGGGATGGATGATTGATTGATTCGACTACATGCCCGCCTTTGCGCAGGCCAGCGCCGCGCTGTGATACGCATAGAGACGACCCGACCTCTCTGAACTAAGCCAGATTACTGCGAACGAACGCGTAGCACGAACGCGTAGCGCGCGGCGGGGAAGTCAACGGGGCAGCCGGCCGGGCGGCCGGCCGCGCCCGAGGCGCGAGGGCGTAGACGGGTCACAAATTGCCCGGGACGGCTGGTCACTTGGTCTCTGACGTAGGCCACGCACATGCACATTAAGCGGTGACATGACCTGATTGTTAAGAGCCGGTCCGCGAAATTAAATGCCATTCTCCAGGCAGGTATCCATTTTAGCACTATCTTCGAAATCCCGGCCGGTACTGTTTTAAGAATGAGTGAAAGAGGTTGTTGGTATTGTCTCTGAAAGAAATGGGCTCGGCTGCGCCTGGGTTCGGAGCTTCAACGCCGGCCATTGCGCCGAATAAAACGGCGGCAAGTGCCGGACAGTGCACAGGGGCTTCGGCGAGAGCGTCGATGCCTTGAGTTGCCCGCTATGGCCGGGGGCTGCACCGCCGTGTGCATCAAGAAGAACTTGCACATGTGGAAACTGTGTATATGCCGAAATGTGACGGCGGCGAGGGCGACACGGACGGAGCAGGCGACAAAGGCGAATCCGACGGCGGAGGCGGCGACGGCGACACGGACGGAGGCGGCGAAAGCGAGACCGATGGCGGCGACGGCGACGGCAAGCGAGCTTGCTGCGGGGAGGGCGAGACGGAGGAAGGCAGCGGCGACGGCGACACGGACGGAGGCGGCGACGGCGACACGGACGGAGGCGGCGACGGCGACACGGACGGAGGCGGCGAAAGCGAGACCGATGGCTGCGACGGCGACGGCAAGCGAGCTTGCTGCGGGGAGGGCGAGACGGAGGAAGGCAGCGGCGACGGCGACACGGACGGAGGCGGCGACGGCGACACGGACGGAGGCGGCGACGGCGACACGGACGGAGGCGGCGAAAGCGAGACCGATGGCGGCGACGGCGACGGCAAGCGAGCTTGCTGCGGGGAGGGCGAGACGGAGGAAGGCAGCGGCGACGGCGACACGGACGGAGGCGGCGAAGTCGACACGACCGACGGCGGCGGGGAGAGCGATTCCAACGGCGGCGGCGGCGACGGCGACGAGGACAGAGGCGGCGAAAGCGAGACCGACGGCGGCGACGGCGACGGCGACATGGATTGAGGCGGCAAAGGTGAGATCGGCGGCAGGGATGGCGAAACGGAGGAAGGCAGCGGCGACGGCGACACGGACGGAGGCGGCGAAGGCGACACGGACGGAGGCGGCGAAGGCGACACGGACGGATCCGAGGCGGCGACGGCGACACGGACGGCGGAGCGGCGACAGCGACACGGAAGAAGGCGACGGCGAGACCGACGGCACGGCGGGGAGGGTGAGGGCGGCAGCGGGGAGGAGTGCGGCGGCAACGGCAGCGGCGAGGGCGGCGGCGACGGCGGAGGAGAGAGCGGCGGAGAGGGCGGTGGAGAAGGCCGCGGGGAGGGTGGCGGAGAGGGCGGTGGAGGCGAGGGCGGCGGCGACGGCGGAGGAGAGCGCGGAGGCGACAGTGGCGGAGAGGGCGGCGAGGAGGGTGGCGAACTCGCATTAATTCACCTGCGGGAACCGGGACGGCGGGGAGGTGGCGGGACCGAATCGTACCGCGGGCCGCCGGGCAGCGGCCATACCCGCTCGGGGGAGGCAGGGCTCAGAATCGGTTTCAGGCCACAAGGCCGGTGAGTTGGGCGTGACCGTCATCTAGAACGCGCCCGCTCGCTCGCGAAGTCGGTCTGCGGAAGGTAACGACGATTCGGCTAGCTGGGCGTCTGCGGAGGCAACGGGCGGGCTGGCGATCCGCAACGAGGCCTGTTTGTCGCGGTCGGACAGGCACCCGTCGCATCTGTGGACAGGTGTGACGACGGCAGTGACGAGATTGCGGCGCAGCCGCGCACGGGGTCCCGCCGTCAGCGGCCACACAGGCAAGAGCGGCACATCATGAGTCGGGGGGGTGTCGGGGCACGACGAGGGTTGCTTCGGCTGGCGCTCGGAGGCCACCAGGCGGCCCCATTTGCGTCCGGCAGGTGCCTGCCGCACGCCTGCCGCACGCTCTAACGTGCAGAGCACCGAATAGACGCCTTGCCCAAAAAATCCCGTTTTTGGCTTGCACGTACACAAAGCGATTAGGGGGGGGGGGGGGGGAGAGACACTAAATACCTGCGCGCGCGCCCCCTCCCAGCCCCCACCGTCGCTGTAAAGCCGTACCCCGTACGTCGTGCTCCACAACCGAGCGGTCTGTCGCTCTCTGCCGTGCTCGCGCGGCGGTCGCCCCGTGCCCCGCGCCCCGGCCGGGGCTGGAGAGGCTCAGACCAGCTCGATGCCGCGCTCCTCGCACACGGCCACCAGCTCAGGCTGCTCCCTGTTCTCCCAGCCCACCTCGAGCTTCTGCAAGCGAGGGGAGTCGCAGTGATGAGCATTGGGCGGGGGAGGGGCGTGTGGCGAGGGGTGGCGTCTCGCGCCTTCAAGCTCGGGGCGGCCCCCTCCTTGAGGGCGGCGGCCAGCGCCTTGCAGCCCTCGACACCAATCTTGTTGTCTTGGAGATAGAGCGTCTCGAGCCGCGGCGCTGCCCCGCTCGCGAGGACCTCCGCCAGCTGCGCCGCCTCCGCGTCGCCCCAGCCGAGGCGGCCGTAGTCCAGCTCGGTCGCCTTGCCAAACTGCTCCTCGAAGGCGGCCTGGTACAGCCGCTTCACAAGCGGCTTGTCGTCCTTGCCGTTGGTGAAGCTCTTCGTCTCCAGCTCCGCCGCAAACCGAGCCGGATGCAGCGGAGGGCGCCGGCCGCCGGCCTGGGTGCAGTCGGCGGTGAGGCTGGACCAGTTGTACTCCTCGCCGTCGCGCATCTTGCCGAGGTCGAGCGAGAGGAGGCTGGCCTTAGTCAGGCTCGCCCAGCTCTGCTCGGTGAAGCACCAGCCGCGGTCAAAGTACTTGGCCACGTTGGTGCCCTCGGCCTGGTCCTCCGCCTTGTGGCCGTCCGGGAAGGAGGTCAGCCGCAGCACGTATGCCTTCGGGTGGGAGTAGAGCGTGCCGAGGCAGCCCAGCCCCTGCTTGAAGAGCGCGTTCTGCTCCTCGGTGCGCATGACGCCGTTGGCGGGGTCGGGGTGCTGGTGCAGCGAACCGAAGTCCCAAAAGACGCCGAGCCGCGGGATGTACGGGGAGGTGAGCAGGGCCTTGAGCGCCCTTGCGACGCGGGCGAGGTTGGCTCCGCGCGGGTCGGGGTGGTCCTTGGTCAGCCACGGGTAGGAGAGCGCGGCGACGGGAAGGGAAAAGGGGCTGGTGGTCGCCTCGACGAGGTCAGCGAGGGAGAGGAAGGCCTCTTTGGGCAGCGCCTGGCGGTGTGTGAGGGCGCCGCCCGCCTCGGCGTGGCTGATGATCCACCGAGCGTCGAGGAGGGCGACGGCGCCGCTCGCGACGACCGGCTCCAGGTCGCCGCCGCCGAACTTGCGCCACTGCTCTAGCCTCTCCTCGTCCACGCCGAGATCGGTGGCGGAGGGGAGGGCGGCTGCCGGCTCTGCTGGGGCAGGAGGGGCTGCGGTTGCCTGGGCACTAGCGTCCTCCTGCCTCTCGTTGCATGAACCATCCACCTTCGTGCTCGCCAGCTCATCTGCCGTGCCAAGAACTGCGGCCTCAGCAGCTACATCTACCGCCTTTCGTGCGTTCGCCTGCTGCAATGCAGCCGCCCTCGCCAACGCCGCCTTGACCAGCGCGGCACCCTCTGCCAATGCCGGCCCTGCACCAGCTCCCTTCAGCACGGCCGCCCGCTGCAATGCAGCCGCCCTCGCCAACGCAGCTTGCACCAGCGCGGCTCTCTCAGCCACCGCACGCTCTGCAATAGCCCGCTTCTCAACGCTGGAGGACATGGCGCGATCTGTTACATCGTGCGGGTTCTCTTTCGATTTCTTTCTGTATAACGCCGGGTTTCTTTTCACGGGAGGATTTTTTTGGCTCTCAGTTTTTCTTCTTTGCGACCGGGGGTATCGACATGCGAGCTGCCTTCGCCTCAGCGTCGCCGCGCTCGCTCGCGGCCTCGGCGCTGCTCCGCACCGCGCCGCTGCACACCGAGGCCCGCATCAAGTGAGCTGCGCCCGCCCACACGGCCGTGCGAGCGCCCAACCACGTCGCCCGTGGTGTACCTGTGTTAGTGCCAGTGCGCGCCAGTCCCGTGCCCAGCCAGTGTTGTGCGAGGGAGGAGGGAGCAGTTCGCTCCTCCTAACAACCAAGAATTGGCACGGCCTGCAAATGCAGCGTTTGTCAGGCCTCCCCCCCACCGCTGTGGCGTGGCAGACGGTGAACGAGCTAGCGTGCGGGGAGAGCGGCATTGTGCATGGTGCGGAGGGCATTGCCGTTCTTAACGGAGTCGCTTAGGCGGCTCCGGTGGTGAGCCGGTGTGTGTGCCAGTCCGCGCTTTTGTCGTGCCAGTGTGCTGTGAGAGTCGATCGAATTCTTTTTAGAGGTGCAACGATAGATCTAACCGCCACCTCCTGAGCCCCCGCCATGGGCGTGGCCGCTTCCGCCGAGCTCGAGCAAGCCCAGGGCCAGGTGAAGCGCCTCACGGTCGAGATGCAGAAATTGAGCACGGCGCTCAAGGGCAAGGAGAGCGCGCTGAGCGCCGTCACGCGTGAGGCGCTCGAGCTCCGGCAGCACAAGGACAAGACGGCCGACGTGCAGCTCGAGCTGTCGCGGACGGCCGAGGAGCTGCGCGCCGCGCGGCGTGAGGCGCAGCAGCTTCCGAGCGTGTCGGCACAGCTGCGGGGCATGCGCGATCAGGCGGAGGGCGAGTCGCGCCGCGTGGCGGAGCTGCAGGCGGAGGTCGAGGCGTCAAAGGCGGAGCTCGAGGCGATGGTGGGACGGCTCAAGTACGGCGAGCTGGAGCAGCGGTCGGTGGCGAAAAAGCTGGGCCGTGCCGCCACCCAGGAGCAGCAACAGATGGCCGCCGCCCAGGAGGAGGCCGCGCTGGTGGCCGCGCAGATCGTCGCCGACGCGAACGCCGCGCTTGGAGGCGATGCCGCGAGCGGCGCCCACCCGGTGTTTGGGGAGCTGCTGCGAGACGACGGGCACAAGCGGCTGTACTCTGCTTCGCCAACCACCCTCTGGGCCGGCACGAGCACGTGGCACAAGCAGCGCGCCTTCCGTGCAGAGCGAGCCGAGCTCATCGCAAAGGCAAAGCAGCGCTCGAGCGTGGCTGGCTGGCCCGGCTCGATCTGCGTGGTGGAGAGCGGGGGGGGCGGCGGGGGCGGCGGGGCGGGCGGCGGGGCGGACGGCGGCGGGTGCGGGTCGATCGGGATGGTTGTGGACGGGCAGCACCGGCTGGGCGCGGCGCACGTGCTCTCCTCCAAGGGCAAGCTGCGCCCCGACCTCGCGAGGGTGCTGGTGGAGGCGACACTAGACACTTCCGAGCCTAGACACTTCCGAGCCACTTCCGAGCCACTTCCGAGCCACGTCCGAGCCACTTCCGAGCCACGTCCGAGTCACGAGGCCGAACGCGTGCGTGCCGGCCTCTGGGCGAGATCTCGCCTGCCATCTCGGCGAGATCTCGCGCAATCTCGGCTCATCTCGCGCAATCTCGGCAGGTGTACCAGCCGATGGGCGAGAGAGAGGTGCGCGACCCCGCGTCCGGCTCGAGGGTGTGAACGGCGTCTCTTCACAGCTGCGGTTGTGGACAGGTGCGCGAGCTCTTCACCGAGATCAACAAGGTGGAGCCGGTCACGCTGGTCGACCTGCCGCAGGCCCGTCCTCCAATCTTCCCAAATCTGCCCACACCTTCCCAAATCTCCCCACACCTCCCCACACCTCCCCACACCTCCCCACACCTCCCCACACCTCCCCATATCTCGTCCTCGTCGCCCCCCCAGCGAGCACCACCTACAGCTGTTCATCGCGTTGGTCCTCCCCGCCGCAGGACCAGGGCGGTGCGGGCGAGGAGGAGGCCGCAATCATCACGCAGGCGGAACCATGCGCCTAGTCAGCGCCTGGTCATTCCTAGTCAGCGCCTGGTCATTGATGAGCACCAGCAAGCGGTTGACGCAGGCGGCAGAGTCGCTGCGCGCGCAGTTCCCCGCCATGTTCAAGCCGTCGACGTCGTGCCGCGCGCCGCACCTGAATGTGGACGCGCTGCGCAACGAGCTGCACAAGGCGGCGCTGCTGCAGCGGCGAGACATCTCCTCCTCGGCCGAGCTGGTGGCGTGGCTGCTGCAGGCGGCTTGCGGAGATTGGCCGAGATCGGCCGAGATGGCGCGAGGTCACCTCCTCCGAAGAGCTCGTGTGGCCTGGCTGCTCCAGACGTACACGAGCCTCCCCATCTGGGCAATCTCGGGCAATCTCGGGCAATCTCGGCCCCTCTCGGCCCCTCTCGGCTCCTCTCGGCTCCTCTCGGCTCCTCTCGGCTCCTCTCGGCTCCTCTCGGCCGCCTCTCGGCTCACCTCGGGTCCCTCTCTGCAGACCAACGAGTCGCTCGCGGCGCGGCCCGACGAGGGATGGCGCGGCGCTGGCCCCAGGCCTCGCTACTCGGATGCCGTCCTCGACAAGGCGAGATCTCCCCCGAGATCACCCCGAGATCACCACCGAGATCTCCCCCGAGATCACCACCGAGATCACCACCGAGATCACCACCGAGATCACCACCGAGATCACCACCGAGATCACCACCGAGATCACCACCGAGATCACCACCGAGATCACCACCGAGATCACCACCGAGATACCACCGAGATCGAGCGCGCCTCCCTCCTCGCTATCCTTGGAGCGACCCCCCCCCCTCCCTCTCCCCCCCTCCCCCTCCCCCCCCCCACTACACCTAGGCGAGGCGCGAGGGCTTCTTCCTCGGCCTCGGGCTCGAGTGGCTGCACGCGGACGGACAAGTGTCGGACAAGTGAGGGACAAGTGAGGGACAAGTGAGGGACAAGTGAGGGACAAGTGAGGGACAAATGAGGGACAAGTGAGGGACAAGTGAGGGACAAGTGAGGGACAAGTGAGGGCCAAGTGAGGGCCAATTGAGGGACAAGTGAGGGACGGAGGCGGAGAGGCCCTTCTCCAGCAGCCCCTCCCCCCCCTCCCCTCCCCTCCTGGGGGGGGGGGGGGGCTGTACGTACCCTTCCTCGTCCCGCCTCGACAGAGGCCGAGACCTCGCTCTGAGCAGCTGCGGGCGGCCGGGGGGCTGGCGCCGGCGGTCGGTGCTCGGGGAGAGAGGCGGCGGGAAGGGAGGCACTTGCGTGGCACGGGAGGCGCGCTCTCGTGCCTCTCGTGCCTCTCGTGCCTCTCGTGCCTACCCCGGGGGCGGGGGGGAGGGGGGGGGGGGGGGGGATGCGGTACGGTGAGGAAGAGGGGAGGGGGCTCAAAAGAGAGCACGCGGGGCGAGCGCAGCAGGCGTGGAGTCAGACGGTACTGTGTTGTACGGCCGGCGCGCCATTACACAGTGGGGCGCGTGCGTGCGACGGGTGGGTGTGAGTGTGCTCAGGTGCCTAACGTTAGATAGCTGTCGCTGTATGGTGTGCGCGTGCCAGGTGGTGCTGTAGTTGCGCGTCACCTTGTGTGCGCGTGTGTGAGAGTGCGGTTTGCGAGGGGACGAGGCTGCTCGACAGCGCGTCGACGGGGGGCTTCACGGGGGCGCGTTGGCCGTTGCTCTCACGCCGTCACGCGTCGGTCTCTCTCACTCTGAGACAAAAAACCAGCACGAAATGATAGTAAGAGAATGAAATCGTCGTACACACACACCCGTCGCGCGAAATTTCCCTCGTGACCTTAGTCGTGTACCACGCCAACGCCATACCCCATACGGACCTCTCCGTCCACCTAGAACCGCTCCGGCAAGTCGGTCAACCTCTCCTCTCTCCGATGTCACCGATAATCTGTGTCTGTCCGCGCGGGGCGTGCCAGGCCCAGCGATTGCAGAAAGGCGCCGAGCTGCTCCCGGACTGGGGCAGAGGAGGGCACCATGTGGCCTCCAGTGTGCTCCACGACAGTCGGGCTCTCGAAGAGCGCTGCCAAGGCCCGTGACCGATCGGGCTCAACGAGTGTGTCGGTGCTGCCAAAGAGGTGGAAGGACGGGACAGGCAGCCCGCCCTTGAGCAGGGATGAGGCTACATCACGGTCTCTCGGCACGAATCCAGAGACGATGATGGCGAACTTTGGCATCGGCTCGAGGTCGGCGCACAGCATCGCTGCAGCTGCTGCGCCTTGCGAAAAGCCAAGGACTCCGTCGCACCGTTCGCGCTGCCACGTGGAGCAGAGCGCCGCACGCGACTCACGCCAGCCGACGTATGTCTCCTGACGAGATCCTCCGCGCCACCAAGCCCGCTTCTCCAAGTCCGCGTCTGCCTCTACCTCATCCTCACCCTGTGCGGTGCACCCGAATGGGCCGTCCACGTACAGCAGCTCCGCGCCCAGCTTCTTCAACGGCTTCCGAAATCCGCCAGAGCGATCGCGAAAGACGGCACCATTCTGCGAGTAGCCGTGAAGCGCGAGCAGCTTGAGGCTCGGCGATTCCGCTGGTGCGGCGACGACGCTCGACATCAGCCGTAGGAACATGAAGAGCTCCAGATCAGGCCCGGCACTTACGGCCCCGGGCGGCGCGGCGGCAAGCGCGACGCGAGAACTGGGTGCGTGATATCTTTTTCGACGTGATATCTTTTTCGAAAAAAAACGCCGTACGGCCTCAGACAGCATGTCTCTCTTCGTTCTCGCGCTCCAGTCTCTCGGCCCGCTTTAAAGAATTTTACCGCCTGCACATGCACATGCAGAGTTTGTTGCAGAGATCCACGGCGCCGCAGGCGCCTGTTGATGGGTCCAGGTGATAGCCCTGGATAGGCAATGCATACGCCTAGTTGGACCTCAGATCGCCCGACCACGTCCCGGTGCTCTGTGGTCGGATTTGTGACGCCGCCGCACCGCGCCGCGGCCGGGGGCCCTCCGGAGGCCAAGGATGGCCGTGGCGGACCGGGACGAGCTCTGGGAGGTGGAGTGTCGATGAGTATTAGAGACAGACCGTGTGCATAATATCTCTCACTCTGGCTAAGCCAGGGGAGGCGATGCCGGGGCCGTACAGCAGCTTGATGGTGCTTCGCCGGCGTGCGTCCCGGATTGGGGCAGACGTAGATTTCCCGAAATATTTTGAGAAATATGACAGGCTTGTTCGGAAGGAGAAATTTCCGGAAATTTACCATACCCGTGACAAGATCCTACTATTCATATACGAGTACTGTTCCCAATCATACTGTGCTCACTCAGCCCACGCGGCGCTCGTTGATGCGGAGCATTAAGGCCGTCTGGATGATATCTGCCAAGGTCTCCATTTGTTGGTCGCCGAACATTGACTTGAGCATGGAGAACACACGCTCCGCCGCGAAGCCGAGCTGCACGACGCGCCCTTGGAACTTGAGCACCTTGTGCTGGATCTTGTCGTTGACTTTGATGCCTTCCAGCGCTTCCTCGGTTCGCACTGGCGAGGCAGGCGCAGACTGGATGGTTGTCTCCTCCTGCGGTGCGGAATCGCCGGCAGCGGCACCTTGCAGGGTGGCGAGGTACTCCGTGTCCATGTCGTCGTCGCTCATTGCTTTCGAAGGTTGAGATTGGCGTGGGTTTTGGTGGCAAGGTTGACGCGAATGACACTGACGCCTGAATGACACTGACGCCCGATGACCTGCTTGACCGGTGACCGATGACCGCTGACCGCTGACCGATGACCAGCGTCAGCCTCTCCGCGGAGGCGCACCATCACTGCCGCGCGGGCCTGCCGGCTCAAGCAAGGCACGGCAGGCCCGCACGGTGCCTGGTCCAACATGGGTGTCCAACATGGGCGAAACGGAAAGGGGCGAAACTTGAGGGCGAAGAAATTTCTCGCAAATTTGCCGTGGTGGGGCACGAAATAAAGACGAAATAAATGACAGAAATATCCTTACGCTGGGCAGGAAATCTACGTTTGCCCCAAGTCCCGGAGCGGTCCCGGACGGGGCCCAGGGGAGGAAAATGGAGGACAACGCCGACACACCGCTCTGATTCGACTTTTAACTTCAAACAAAGACAGTCGCACGCGCCACAGAGGCGGCGCGTGCCACTGTCAGGAGCGGATCCGTCAGTTAGTCGTGTTCACGCCGGGATCCTAGCTTCGTGTCCTCCACAACCTGGGCAACCATTCAGGGCGACGAGTACAAGCAAACTCCCTCGCACGACACTGGGCACGGGACTGCAGCGCGCACTGGCACTAACACAGGTAGTCACCACGGGAGCCGCGAAAACAATTTCCGCTTAACAACCTCACTTCGGGGTCCCCGCTCCGCGCCGGTGTCCATTCCGAGCCCGGCTGTTCTTGAACTCAGAACATGCATGCGCTCACACACATGCACGGCTGCCCGCATCCGGTGGTGAAAAAGTGCTGCTGCTGCTGCTGCTGCTGCCGCTGTTGCTGCTCGACGTCCGCGAGACGCAATGGGAGAACCTCGCGCGGTACACCGTCGCGGGCGGCCGCGGCGGGGGGGAGAGCGGCGGCGGCCCGAGCTCGTGTACTTCACGGCCCGGGCTGTCGTCTGCACCTTTCACCGCCCCCGCCGTTGCCGGCCCCAACGCAGCCCACGGCCGGGTCAGTAGCGGTGCCCCGGAATCGCTGGGGGGCGAGAGGAGGGCGAACGAGGCCGACTCGAGCTGCTGCGCCCCCGACAGGAGTTTCGAGGCGATCCCGAGCGGCAGCGATGCGGCTAGGGCGCTGGGTAGGGACGCGGTGAAGCTCCACGATGCAGCGGGCGCCTATCCATAGACGGGAGGTGAACGGGTGCTCTTCATGGCACGGGCGGAGCGCTGCCCCAAGACCGCAGCCACGCTCGTCTCCGCGGGTGCTTCTGCCGCCGCCTCGAGCGCCGAAGGGAGGCCAAGCGCGGCCAGTTCGGCGCAGAAGCGTGGCGCGTCGAGCCTCCCGCTCTCCTGCGTCGCCCCTTCCGCCTCTGGAGCATGCGAGGCGGCAAAGGCGGCGAGATCACGCCGCACAGACATGCTGCGACTCGCCTGGGCTAGCGCCTCTGCGTCGCTAGGCGGGAGGCAGGCGGAGCATGGAGGAGCTGCAAAGGCGGCGAAGGCGGCCTGGACGGCACGCAGCCGCCGCGCCTGTGTGCCCAAGAGCCGCGTCTGGATTCCTTCACTGTAATCTGGCTTGTTAGTCTCGACCTGTCGCGCCTCGGAAGACTCGAGCTCGGCGAGCAGCGCCGGGACCCTCTTCTTGTTCATCGCATCAGTCGCTGCGTTTGCCTCCCGAAGCGCCGCGGCGCACTCACAAGCGGCGACCCGGAGAGCGGTTGCAGTTGCGTGCTTGGCGAGGTCAGCGCTCGCAGTAGGGAGAGGCTGTCGTCGCCACATAAACAGCTCCCTGCCGTACACCTCTGCCGCCGCTGCTGCCGCGCAACGCGCTTCGAGGACGCGGTCGGTCGCCGCGTCCACCTCTGCCAGCGCCCGCTGGCTCGTCACTCTGGCGCCTCGGATCGCCGACTGCAGCGGGCCGATAACGCTGACGTGGATCTGCCTCGCCGATTCCGCGTGCGTCTTTGCTAGCCTAATGGCGGAGGGGCGGTGGTGAATGTGCATGTCTAGGCAGCGCGGGACTGGCAACGGCAACACAGCGGCAAATCTAGGTTTGACAGACCCCTCGACGATGCGCTGCAGCATCGTCCAGCCTACGGTGAACGGTGGCGAGCGTGTCCTGCGGTGTATGCACGCATGGTTTGTGAGTGCCCCTGTTTGTTCATAGCTAGACGCGTGGAAGACCTTGGTTGGTCGTCATGTATTGCGCCGAACGAGCAAACGTCGGCCCGGCACGCAACGCGTTCGCCCAACTTGCGAGGTAGCCATCGTCCTCTTCAAGCTCGGCTCTCTCCCTAACAAACCGGCTGCCCAGCTCCCGCAGCGCTGCCGCGTACTCTTCCTGTGCATTGGCAAGAGCAGCGAACAGGCCAACCGCGTCGGTGTCGTAGCTGGCAAGCGCACGCCGGCGAGCTGCAGCAAAAAGATGCGGCGTCTCGCTCCAGGCCTTTGCCTCGCCGCCAGCAGTGACGTCCTGCTCGCATGGACAGCTGGGGCCTCGATGCACCCATGGCAGCACCTCCATGTTGCCCCGGAGAGCCCAGCCGTCGATGGCGATGAATGCTTCGTGCGCAACACTGAGGGCTCCGCTCAGCCGCCGAGAGTGCAAGTCGTCTTTGTCTTCGAGTAGGCACCCGAACTCATCGGAGGCAGCCATGAGGGGCCGCAAAATACAACTCGCGGCAATGACTGCACTCCAACTCCAAGTGCTCCAAGGGCAAAAGTTTTGGCCGGAATGCGCGTTTTTTTACTACCCGACGCGCGGGGGGGGGGGGGGGGGGGGCTGGAAGGCGCACAACCCCCCACGCCCAGCCTCTGTAACTGTATGCAACTCAGGGTCCACACGCCACACCCCGTACTGTAGCGTACTAGTATTTTCAGCGGTCACGGGTCAGCTAGAGCAGTCAAACGTTAAGAGCTGAACAGTGTTGCTAGTGTTAACAGTAACAACAGAACAACAGTGGGGCTCCCCAACAACAGTAGCTAACGTTAGGCCAGCTGAACAACAATAAGGAAGGCCTGGCAGTGACCCACGACGATCTCCAGCGTCCAGTGCGGGTAATACCCGAAAATACCTGGAAAACCCCAGGTATTTTCGGGTTTTACCCGGGTTTTTTGGCATTTTCTGCTTGCTGACCACTGAACAACAGTAACAACAGTAACAAACAGTAACAGCTTGGGCTGGGGAGAACACTTGAACAACGTTGAGGATTTCAGCCAACAATAGTGCAACTGTTAGGCCCAAAGTTAACGTTTGACAGCTCTAGGGTCAGCGCATAAAAGTTACAACGAGAGAGCGGAGACAGACAGCCTACGCGCTAGGCCCTACTTTAGTCGACGGGGTTGCAGAGAGTTCAGTGAACTGGCTATTGCCGTCCCATGGGTGTGCGAGCGACGAGTGCCTCTCGCTCAGCCTCCGGGACCAGCGAGCCGCCCGTTGCCCAAAAGACGTGGGTCCCCTCCGCGAGGAGCCAGCGCGCCCGCTGCGACCCCGCCGCGAGGTGGCCAGGCCCGGCGAAGCACGCGCAGCACGACGGCTCGATGAAGCTGCGCTCGAGCTCCACGAGCGCGCCCAAGTGCTCGAACAGCGTGCAATCCTCGATGGTGTAGCTCCCCTCGACCAGAGGCGCGCAAGTCTCGAAGCACAGCGCAGATGCCCGCCCGACGGCCAGGCCGTCCGCCTCTGTCTTGCCGTCGAGGCCAATGTCCGCTACGCAGACGGCCGCTCCCTTGCCCGTGCAGAGGGCGAGCGTGACGCACGGCGCGGCGACTGGCTCGGCAAAGAACACGCGGACGGGCTGTGCGGCGCCAAAGGCGAGGTGCATCCCCCAGCAGAGGCCGCCCGGCGCGCCGCCAACGCCGCAGGGGATGTGCACGACCAGGGGCCGCTCCGGGCTGACCTCGACGTTGAGCTCGGCGAGCTGCGCGCGCAGCTCGAAGGCGGCGGCGCTGTAGCCCAAAAAGAGGACGCGGCTCGACTCGTCGTCCACAAAGTGTGAGGCCGGGTTGGAGGCGGACTCCGCCCGCCCGGCCGCCACGGCCTCGTCGTACAGCCCCGCGTGCTCCACGACGACGACGCCGCGCGAGCGGAGCAGGCTCTTCTTCCACGCCTACTGATGGACTGACTCACTGAAGTCAGCTCGTAGAGGAGAGCCTAGCTCTCCGTCCACGCCTTTGCGTCGGTCGACATGTGCACGACCGCGCGCATGCCAAGGGCGGCGGCGCCGAGCCCCACGCTCAGGCCGAGGTTGCCCGTAGAGCCGACGACGATCTCTCGCTCTGCCAGGTGCGCACGGAGCTTTGGGTCCTCGGCGAGGGCGGCCGAGGAGAAGCCGGCGCCGCGAGGGTCAAAGACCGACTGGAGCTCGGACTCGCGCACCTCCAAACCGCCGAAAAAGGCCTTTGCGAGGTGCGCAGCCACATTAAACACCTCAAACATGCCGCCGCGAGCCTTGACGGACCCACAGACGGCGAGGTTCGAGTCCGCCTTGAGCAGGCAGCGGCCAGGACGGAGGCCCAGCGCTCGCCCCATGGCGTCGATGCGGCGGAGGGGAGAGGAGACGGTGCCGGGCTCGCCCCACGGTGGGTTGGTGACCTCTTCTGGGAAGAGCAGGACGAAGAGGGGTCGGAGCCACGCCCACATCCGCACGCTCGCGTCGAGGTCTGCGCGAGAGAGCACGCCACAGCCTCCGTCTTCGTCGCACGCTGGATTCTCCCAGCATACTGGTCGACGCGCACGCAGGGCCGCGGTCGTAGCGTCGTCCATGTGCTGGGTGTGCACCTGTGCTGAATGGTTGGGCAGGTGTGAACAGCGCACAGCGCCATATACGAGGTACTTTCTTCTCAATAACAAGGCTGTGAACTGCGTGACACCGACAAAGACCAGGACGTCTCGCAGCTCTTCTACAAGCTACTGCGCTCGCGCAACGGCACCCCGTTCCCCGTGCTATTGGATGCGGATTCACACCTGCCCAACGTCATTCATCGTGCCCGTCCTCAACACGATGGTGCTCCCGCGGCTGCGCACCTCCTTCGGCTTCGAGATCCTCGCCAGGGCAAACGGCACGCCCACAAAGGAGCTCGACCGCGCCTGGGAGGAGGTGCAGCTCTCGGTGGCGAAAGGCGGCTCAAACATCGGAGGGCACGCCGACGTCGCCGACGCGTGCTTCGTCGCCGCCTTCCTCGCCGTCTGGCCATCGCTACGTGACAGGCGGGCCTACCAGGCGCGCCGCCTCTCGTGCAACCGCCGCTGCTCGTCTACTTCAACAAATACTACAATTCCATCCGCGACCGCTGCATCAAGCTCTGGGGCGTCTACCGCGCCCGTGCCAAGCATGAATGTCGACTTTGGGATGGTCAACATCAACTACAACCTTGGGTACTACCGTCCGTCCGGCCTCCCGCTCGTTAGCAAGATGCCGCCCGTCTCCGACCTCTACTCTGAGCAGAGCACTTCTCCAGTCCCTAAACAGGGCACGCTCGCTCAGATTGCGTCGCACGAGCGGTGGCTTCGCTGCCTCGCCGCCTGCGAGCGGCTGGATGCTGAGATGGATGACCCGGACGGCGTCAAACATCGGGAGGCGACACGCTTCATCGCCGTCTCTCAGTTCGCCTCGGGAGCGTGGCTCGACCTCTCCCCCGACGGCCGGCACTCCTCCAAAATCACCTCGGAGGTTTTTGCCACGGCGCTACAGCGCCGCCACGGCTACTACATTTCCAGCGCCAAGTACGTGTACGACGCCAAGGAGGCGGCTGGTGAGACAGTCACCATCGGTATGCGGAAGGGCGACCAGCTTGCAAACGGATCGAAGGACATTCCGTGCGAGCACAACATTCGTCACAACGGCACCATGTATGCGGCGGCCAACATGGTCCGTGCACGAGCCTGCGGCAAGCTCGTGCTCGGTGACAAGAGCAGGCGCACATCGCTTCCCGGGAGGGGGGCGCACACTTCTACTCACGCCCCACCCCCCCCCTAGCATGTGGTGAAGCCTCTGGGGGGGGTCGGACCCCTCGCCGGCGGGTTCCTTCTCGTGTTGCGGCAACTCCTCCCCTCTGCTTTCTCTTTTGACCGCGCAAGCAAGATAAAAGGGTGGCTAAGGGCTCTGCCCGCAAGGCGCCCGCGTCGCAGACGCGGTACCATTGACAAATCTGCAACATACCCCCACACGAACAAATAGCAAAATCCGAATACCGTGCACGAACTGGGCGATCTGGGACCCAAGCCATCAGCTGGTGCCAAGACGTTCGTACAATTGAGAAGAGAGAGAGAGTAAGCTAAAAGTACGTACAATTGAAGCCAACACGGGATGGATTGCCGACGGGCAAGCGTCTCATTGGCGCCCCCACCCCCCCCTAAGCAGCCCGTCGATGCAGGTGGCCCGCGCGGCCACGGCCGCAACGACGCGTCGCCGGCGGCGCTCACTCGAGCCCGAGCCCTCCGCGACGGCAACGCCAGGTCGTCGCGTCCGCCCCGCCAGCCCTTGAGCACGCCTCCCGCATACCGATGACTGCACTCGGCGTCCACCGGCGGGGGACCATGGAGGAGTGGTCAGCAGTCTCGACTGCTCCACCGGCTCCTCCACAGGCTCTCGCCGTCGGCCCCGGCGCGCTGCGACGGCGCGCCGCCGGCTCCCACCGCGGCGTCCGAGCTGGAGGGAAAGGTGACGCACCTGATGGAGCTGCTCAAGGCGCATCAGTCGCGGGACGCGGAGACGTCGCGGCTGCAGCAAGCGCTGCAGTGCCAGGAGGAGGCGGACGCCGCCAAGCTCGTCGAGCTGATGCGACGGCAGGAGGCGGCGAGCGCGGCGGCGGTCGAGGAGGCCAAGGCTGCGATCGAGGCGCAGCTGGTCGAGCGATTCCGCGAGGAGCAGGCGGCGGCGGCGGAGGCGCACTCAGCGCAGCTGCAGCAGCTGAGCGCGGAGCACTCGACGCAGCTGCAGCAGGCAGCGGCCCTCCTGGAGGCGCAGGCGCGCGAGAAGTTTGAGACGGCGGTCGCGCACGAGAGGGTGATTGGAGCAGGCGGTGCTCGCAGAGAGGCTGGTGAGCGGAACCTCTCCCCTCCCGCCTCCCCGCCCGCCTTCCCTCCCGCCTCCCGCCTCGACTCCCCTGCCTCACTCCTCCCGACCCATCCCTCACTCCTCACTCCGCCCGCCTCTCCTCTCCCCTCCCTCCTCCCCTCCTCCCCTCCCCCTCCCCTCTCCTCCTCCCCTCCCCCCCTCCCCATTCCCCCTTCCTCTCGCCTCGCGCCCAGCCCAGCCCCGCCACCTCACCGCCCTCCCAGGCGTATCTCTCCGCCCTCAAGCAGCTCGAGCTCGACGTCGACGTGCTCACACGCGTCCTGGCGCCTACTGTATACTTGATGCAGAGCTTTCCGACGTCATTGTGTTTGCCGCTCCGCGCTCGACGCCTGCCGCCGCGCGCGCCCGCGCCCCGCCCCTTTTGCGCAGCAACACCTTAAACTTCATGGCCCTCCAAATTCGGGTCGGAGCGTAGCGGAGTGGGCCCCGAGTTTGAAAACGGCGACGGACGCTTGCGTCCTAGCCGCCAACAACTGCCAACAACGCCTCCCCGGCGCAGAGGGGCCCCCGGAGGGATGCTCAACCGCTCCACGCCACGCCGCTTGCGGCGGTCCTATTCCACGCTCGCGGGGGCCGCTTCTTATTTCTATTGGCAGGCCGCATAGATGGAGCCCCAGGGTGCATCGGCTCCGCCTCAGCCGCCGCCCTCGTCGGGCGAGAGCGGCTTGCCCGACGGCGCAACGATCGCCGCGCCGGCTCCTTTGGTCGAAGAAGGCGACGTAGCAGCACCGCAGGCGCCCGCACCGGACGCCGGCGGCGGCGTGCTGCCCGCCTCGAGCCCAGAGGCGGTCGAGCTGGGAGGGGCGACAGCAGATGTGGTGGGCATCGCGATGGCCGCGGTGCAGCGCGAGCTCGCGGCCCTTGCCGCCGCCGCCACGGCCAGCGCGCGGCGGTCGGGGAGCGGCAGCGCTCATGGCGCCTTTGCCGGCGGGAGGGGTGGCGATGCCGGGAGGGGCGGCGAGCGGCACTCGAGGGACGCGCGGCACCGCGAGCGGCCGCGGTGGGGCGGGACGTACGACTCTGGGCCCGCGGCGACCAACATCGACCAGCGCCTGTGGGAGGGCGCCGCCGCGGCCGGCTGGCGCATCGAGCTCGGGCCGCACCGGCACAACACGTACCATGCGCCAGACGGCTCCGTATACCGTCGGCTGCAGGACGTGCCTCGCGAGGCTCCGCCGGCGCCAAAGGCGCCCGCCGCACCCAGTGCGCCACCTGCCACAGCCGCCGCCTCCGCCTCCGCCTCCGCCTCCGCCTCCGCCTCCGCCTCCGCCTCCGCAGCCGCCGCAGCCGCCGCCGCCGCCGCCCTGCCCGCCGCCAACCGTGGCCGCCGCGGCGGCGGCGGCGGCGGCGGAAGCGGAGGCGGCGGCGGCGGCGGCGGCAGTGGTGGCGGAGGAGTGGCAGAGGAGGAGGGCGAGCAGGGCAGTGGCGTGGAGCACTGGCGAGGGTATGAGCTGATCACTTCGACGAGGGCCAAGTCGGGGTATGCGGGCGTCTACGCCAACAAGACCGGCTTCATCTCGATGGTCTGGAACGGAAAGACTCAGGTCGGCCTCGGGCAGTTCCACTCGGCGCGGCTGGCAGCGGCCGCCTATACTCGCTGCCGAGCCGCGGTGGAGCGGGAGGGCGTGACGGAGACGGCGTCGCTGCAGCAGCTCGCGACTCAGGTTCGTGACGGCGCCGCGGCGGCGGAGAGGGCCGCAGAGCGCCCGCCGCCTCCGCCGCATGCCTCCGGGCGGGGGTGCGGCGAGGAGGACCCGTACTACGGCCAGGGCGAGCTGGCTGGCGAGGGGGACCCTGGCCCGCGGGTCGGTCCAGACGGAGACCCGCTCCTCGCCTCACTCCACGGCGTCCGTCTCCACCGCTCGACAAAGTCGAACACTGGGTACGCGTGCGTGCGGCAGGTGTGGCACACGGGTGTCGGGCCGCCCCTTCCCTGAACCGTCCCTGAGCTTGCTTTGAACTGTCGCGAGCTGTCCCCTCCCTCTTCCTTTCCTCCCTCCCTCTGCCCCTGAAGCCTTCCCTCTGCCCCTTCCCCTGCCCCTTGCCTGAACCTTGCCTGACCCTTGCGCGCGGGTGGCGCAGGTGGTTGGCAAGCGGCGGCAGACGACGTACCGAGTCGAGGTCAAGAAGAAGGCGCTTGGAACCTTCTCGACCAAGGTTGAGGCGGCGCTGGTGTACGCGCGCTATCTGGAGGGCGGTGGCGCCGACGCCGCCGCCGACGAGAGCGACGACGACGAGGAGGGGAACGGGGCGGGCGAGGCGGAGGAGGAGGCGGAGGAGGCGGAGGGCGAGGACGAGCAGGCGACGGCGGAGGCGGCGTCGGCGGGGGCGGCGGCGGCGGCGGCGGCGTCGGCGGCGGCGGCGGCGGCGGCGGCGTCCAAGCCGCGCCGGAGCGGGGCGGGGCGGAAGCGGCGCAAGAAGGGCGGGTCGGCCGGGGACCCGTCGGCGCCGCCCCCGCCCGAGGACTGCGGCGAGTGCCTCCACTGCCTCGACAAGCCAAAGTTCGGAGGGCCGGGCCGGCTTCGCCATGCGTGCGTCCTCAAGGCCAAGGGAGGCCTCCGGC